GAGCTTCTTACTGAAGACCTGTCTAAAAGATCAGTGGAACGGCTGATATTTAAGGAATTTTTATCTCCATTTTCCCCCTTGAAGCTTGCTTCATGTGGGCTACTGGTTTGCTATTTCATTTTTCCAGTGTTTAGAAAAATAAGTTACATTTTGGTGACTATTTCCTTCCTCTGGCCCCTGCTCTTGGCCATGCTGTTTACCTTCCCTGCCTGAGCACCTCCTGCTGGCTCCTCAGGGCTTGCTCAAGCATCTTATTTTTCTTTTTTCTTTGACTGTTGCCCAGGCTGGAGTGCAGTGGCACGATCTCGGCTCACTGCAACCTCTGCCTCCCGGGTTCAAGCGATTCTCCTGCCTCAGACTCCTGAGTAGCTGGGATTACAGGTATGCGCCACCATACCCGGCTTTTTTTTTTTTTTTTTTTTTTTTTTTTTTGAGATGGAGTCTTGCTCTGTTGCCCAGGCTGGAGTGCAGTGGTGCAATCTCGGCTCACTGCAAGCTCCGCCTCCAAGCCTCACGCCGCTATCCTGCCTCAGCCTCCCGAGTAACTGGGACTACAGAAGCCCACCACCACGCCCGGCTAATTTTTTGTATTTTTATAGAGGCGGGGTTTCACTGTGTTAGCCAGGATGGCCTAGATCTCCTGACCTCGTGATCCGCCTGCCTCGGCCTCCCAAAGTGCTGGGATTACAGGCGTGAGTCACCGCGCCCGGTGCCACACCCAGCTAATTTTTGTATTTTTAGTAGAGGGTCTCACCATGTTGATCAGGCTGATGTTGAACCCCTGACCTTGTGATCTGCCTGCCTTGGCCTCCCAAAGTTTTAGGGATTACAGGCATGAGCCACCGCGCCCGGCCTCAAGCATCTTAAGCCTCCCTGAACTGCCTGCTTCTCCTCCTCTCTCTTCCCACTCTGGACTAAGTACCGCCTCTCAAGGAGATCCCGGGCATGCTTCTCTACCTATATCATAGCTCATATTACTTTGAAGTGACGTCTCTTTCTGCATTGAAAATATTTGGTAAGTGTCTGAATCTCCTTTCGGAGAGGAGTACCTGGGCCTTATACCCTTCACCAACAGAGCAACTGGTATGCAGTAAGTGCTCAGGAAAGAGGAGTCCAATGAAAATGCCTCCAAAACAGAGTGAACCCATCTCTCAGTCCACCATGCAGGCGATAGTCAGAATCACATGACTAAAAACAACCTACATCCAGATTTATTTATTTATTATTTTTAGTGTTCTCTAATTGCGAAATCTTATTTTGAGGGATGAAAAGTCAGAAAGGTGAATATGAAAATCTAGGTATAAATATAGATGAGCTGGGTGCAGTGGCTCACACCTGTAATCTCAGCACTTTGGGAAGCTGAGGTGGGCAGATCACAAGGTCAGGAGTTTGAGACCAGCCTGGCCAATATGATGATACCCTGTCTCTACTAAAAAAACTACGAAAATTAGCTGGCCGTGGGGCAGGTGCCTGTACTCCCAGCTACTTGGGAGGCCGAGGCAGGAGAATCGCTTGAACCCGGGAGGTGGAGGTTGCAGTGAGCAGAGATTGCACCACTGCACTCCAGCCTGGACAATAGAGTGATATTCTGTCTCAAAAAAAAAATCTATATATATATAGATAGATATATAAATAGATATAGATAAATGACAAAATGACCTCGGATAATAAGGATGAAAGTTTGGGTGATGTATCTTCTCTTTCCCAGAGATAGACTTCCTTGGACCTGCCTAATGTTGTCACTATTCATTTTATGTCCCTTTAGGTCAACAGCCAGAAATGGAGACAGATGCTAGCTTCCGTAGCAGCAGGCTACGGAATCTTTTTCCAGTTCTAAGCTGGGATCCAAGCCTGTTGTGGGCTACAGTACGCAGGATTTGCACTTCCCTGGCACATGGATCCAATTGGTAGCTGAAATTCCATGTTTATGCAGAAGAACATCTGTAGATTTTGTCTCTAGTACAGCCCAGTTACAGCCAGACTTGGTATTTAAAGAATGAAGCAAAGCAACCACAGAAAGAGATAAAATGGAAGAACTCTCTGTCTGGAGTCTTTGTAGTTGTTTCAAGTATGAATAGACAGGAAAAGAAAATAGGAAGATAGAGGGTGGGGGTGGGGACAGAGATATGAACATTTATCTACCAGAGCTGGCATATGATCAGTCCTGTGTCAGCTTTGGGGTGGAGAGAACCTAGACCATTTAGATCCAGATAGATGTGGGCTCCTGGCTCTGGCATGCGCATGCTGATGTTGGTATAAGGTTATTCACTGTAACATTGTCTATAGTAGCAAAAGACAGGAAACAACCCTATGCCCACCAATAGAAGACTGCTCCATTAAATTATGGTATGTCCATACAATGGAATACTGTGCAGCTGCAAAATAAAAGAATGAGGAAACTCTTTATGTGCTGGTAATGAAAAGATCTCAAGATATTTTGTTGATCTCAAGTTCTTTATGTGCTGAAAGAAAAAAAAGCAAGGCATGGAACAGTATGCATAGTATGCCATGTTTTGTGTAAAAATGGAGAAAAATAAGACTTTGTACTTTATTAACTGGAATATGCATAAAGAAATGCTAAAAGTATACAAGGAACAAATGGTGGTTACCTGTGTTTGTGGCAAGGAGACAGATGGGGGAAACTGACAATCTGGGGGTCAGTAGACAGGAGACTTCGTATTGTATACCTTTCTACGGTTTTGATTTTTTTTTTTTTTTTTTTTTTGAGCCAGAGTCACGCTCTGTCACCAAGGCTGGAGTGCAGTGGCATGATCTTGGCTCACTGCAACCTCTACCTCCTGGGCTCAAAAGATTCTCCTGCCTCAGCCTCCCCAGTGGCTGGGATTACAGGCACATGCCACCACGCCAGGCTAATTTTTGTATTTTTAATGGAGACGGGGTTTCACCATGTTGGTCATGCTGGTCTCGAACTCCTGACCTCAGGTGATCTGCTCACTTTGGCCTCCCAAAGTGCTGGGATTACAGGCGTGAGCCACCGTGCCTGGCCCCCTTTCTACGGTTTTGATTTTTGAATCATATGACTGTATTACCTACTTACAAGCCAAATCAAACAAACAAGCATCATAGCTCTGTCACTGTTACCAGCTGACCCTGGCAAGTTACTTAACATCTTCCAGTCCTACTTTCCACATTAGGGAAATGGGGATATTTATATTTGCCCCACAGGGCTGTGAGGTCACTAAATATCACTGAACAATGGAACATAGAAAGCACTAAACACAGAGCAGGGCGGGGTGCGGGGGAACGGGTGCTCCCAAAGGGTGGGTCATACCCCTTCCCTATAGCAATGCCAGCGTCTCTCAGGCCTGGGCATAATTGTGATGTGTTGGCTAACATTTCTCAAGAAGCACTTCAGGAGCCACTTTCTGCTGCTTGCCTTGTTGTGAATCTGTCCGAGTCCTCACCCCAGTTAAAAATGTCCAGTGACCTTAAGAGTTCAAGCACCTCTGAACACTCCTCTGCTAGGCGGGGCAAGCCTCTAGAAACTTCTGCTTCATTTTCCTGCTTGGTTGATTTCTCCCACTCAGCTCCCCCTGCAGAGTCAACTCCCACTCACCCTCCCAGGGAGCAGTCCACACCTCAGGTACCTCACTGTGACGGAAGCTGCTTCACTGAACACTGAACATTCGGACAGTATTTGGGTCCATTCTGTCTCCATCTCGCCCGATTGCCCTCTCTCAATCAGTTCTCTGGGCTTCAGAATCCTAGTGAAGTCAGAGGACAGTTGCCTCTTATCGGATAACCAAAACCTTCTGCCCCCAGGCAGTCTCCCTTAGGAGGCCACCTGGCATATCCAGCGCTCCCTTGGTAACTGAGGGGCCCCGGGGTGCTCTAACTTCCAGGCTGGCATGTGATCTCCTGCATGCCTGTGTAGAGAGCCCTCAGCGGGGCGGGAGGATGTGAGGAAAGAACACAGTGTTCCGGGCGGAACAAAGCCAGCTGCAAATTTGCTCAGGCCCTTTCATTTCTTCCTTGAAGGGACCAAGTGCAGCCTCTAGCGGCTGCTTCTGGACATGGTCACCAGGGTCAGAACTGTGGAACTTGTGGGACTTGTTCACCTTAAACTGGGCCACAGCTCTGGAGCCCCAGGAGGCAGCAGGACTTGGTGACATGGTTCTCTGAAAACCTTCACCAGGCAGGGTTGTGGTCTGTTCCGCCGGCCCGTGCATGAGTCAAACTGAACCTGCACCCCACACAGCTCAGGTCCAGGGTTCAGGACCAGGCTGATCTCTGCAGTGAGCTCAGCTTCCTAACCCACAAGGGCGTGCAGAACTCCCCCTTGCTCCTTCCTTTAGCTGCGCCCTTGGCCCTCCCAACCTCCCCACCAGCTCTGTTCCCCTTCCCACCTCAATTGTCATGGGCTGTCTGCAGCGTTGGCAGGGGTTTGCAGCTGTTAGTGGCTGCTTTCCTTGAAGTTCTTCTTTGCACAGATCCTGAGACTTGATATTTGTTGAATGAACAACATCAATGCAATTTGAATACATTGAAAGCGGACCTGAAGTTGAACCGGACCCATTTGCCTTAATCTATTTTCTAGGTTATTTAAAAACTTATGACATCAACTCTTCTTACAAATTTTGGTATTGTGGAATGCTATGTTGGAAATACTAATCAAATAGATCTCTCTTGTTTCATGGAAGACCAGTATAAATTCTCTGTTCCCTAATGAAAACAAAGCCCCCAAACAAAAACACCAAACATTTGAGCTCTCATCGGGTACGTCAAACTATTTCAGGGGCTAGGCACGGCATTTCCTCTAACCCAGAGTGAATCCCTTTAGGGCACTCAAAGGACTGTAGCACAGCATTTACTTTTTTCCACATATTCCTTCAAACTTCTGTTTTGTATATTACCAGCTACTATCCACAGAGAGGCATAAATCCCCTGGAGGAGTCGTATGTGACCCCACGTGATTAACTTTGCATCTGTTTTGCAGCTGTTCACTCTGCGGTTTTATTTTGCCTTTTGGAAAACTCAGAGTAGTGCTTCTCAAATGTTAATGTGCATATGCCAAATCACGTGGGCATCTTGTTAAAATGCAGAGTTTTGAGTTGAGGGTCTGGGGAGGGCTGAGATTGTGCAGTTCTAAGGAGATGCCAGGTGGTGCCAATTCTGCTGCACTGGACACCACACTTAGAGTGGCGAGGTCACTAAATAATAGGAGCGAAAGGATTGTGAGAACACCGACATCAGTGAGAAGGAGGCTGGCTGCAGAGACCATGGTAGGAGGAGTTTTCCTTGGTGATTCTGCTCTTCTCTCCTCGCCCTTTCACTTTCCCTTTCCTTGTAAATATCCTTTACTGTGGTCTTTCTTTGATTAAAGAGAAACTGTGTGAGCAGAGCCAAAGGCCACATTCATCTATGGGTAGCATCTATGCTTCTTCAGGTCATCTGGGCTGGAAGAAAACAAAAAAGTTCTGCAGCCAGTGATAACTGAAACTAGTGAGACTTCTGTAGCCTGTGTGTGCACACCCAGAAACAGACCCAAAGCCAGCGGTTTCAGTTCCCTCAACTTTATTTTACTAATGTGATAGAGAGGCAGCAAACATCTGCAAGGAACCAGAAATCCTTCCTTTACGTGTGCTGCAATCTAAAACAGTTTCTCAACCGTGGCGCCGCTGACGTCTTGGGCTGTCTCATAGTTTGCTGACGGGGAGGCCAAGTGTCCTGTGCATTGCAGGCTGTTTAACAGCATCCCTGGACTCTACCCACGAGATGCCAGCAGCACTCCCAAGCTGTGACAACCCAAAATACCTCCAGACATTGCCAGTGTCAACTTGAGGGGCAAAATTGCCCCCTGGTTGAGAACCACTGGTGTAGGATGGGATAAGGTATAATTTGTCAGTTCTACAGAAAGTCTACCTTCCTTATAGGGGAAGAAAGTTTTTTCTTCATACTTGTGGTAATTTCCAAATGTTTCTGTAATAAACATGTTTTACTTTTATAGTTAGAAACAACTATTTGGAAAAAAAATAAAATATTTTAAGAAGAGTTTCATCATTCTTATGCTAGAAATATATATATCTATACACACACACACACATATACATATATATATATATATATATATATATTTTTTTTTTTTTTTGAGACAGAGGCTCCCTCTATCACCCAGGCTGGAGTGCAGAGGCACGATCTCGGCTCACTGCAACCTCTGCCTCCTGGGTTCAAACAATTCTCCTCCCTCAGCCTTCTGAGTAGCTGGGATTACAGGCGCCTGCCACTGTGCCCAGCTAAGTTTTGTATTTTTAGTAGAGACGGGGTTTCACCATGTTGTCCAGGCTGGTCTGGAACTCCTGACCTCAGGTGTTCTATCCACCTCAGCCTCCCAAAGCGTTAGGATTACAAGTGTGAGCCACCACGCCTGGCCCTTAGTGAACTGGTTCTCAGTGAGACACCACCAAGTGAAATTTCCAGATAAGTGAAGCTAAGGCATGTGGGTTTGTATTCTACGCCTCTTCTAACTAATTCGTTCTGGCTTCTAGAGAAAGAGATCTGAGGTTGTCTACACGCAGCAGGAAAGAACACTGTCTACCATGGGTTTGGGTGTGGGTGGAGGTGCCATTATGCTTGCTGTGGATTCATCTTTTTAAAAACTGAATTGCCATCTTTCCTTGCACCCCAACATTTGGTTTGCTCTCAATAAGGCAGTAGCTGTGGTCTAATGGAAAGCATGTTGGCCTCAGGGTCTGAAGATTTGAGTTGGAATCTCAGCTATGCCACTTACTATGACCTTGAATGAGTGGGTCATTGACTGTCCCCTCCTGAGCTTGGACTATGAGCTATTCATTCCCAGCTCATAAGGTGTGTGTGAGGGTTAGAGGAGATGACAGATGAAAGCATCTACTTGGTACCCGGCTTATGGGGAGTGCTCATTTATGTGCATTTATACAACCCTTATTTATTTATCATCCAATAAGTAGGTAACACAAATTTTGGGGCAGGTAATATGATCCTGTACTGAATACTGAGAAAATTTCTGAAGGTGAAAATAGGGCCCTATACGGGCTTGTTCAGGAGAAAGGAAGCATCCTTTCCTTTGGGCCAAACATCCTCTCGAAGTGAAGGTATATTTAGAAGCCTTCAAACTGGCTTCCTGCACTAAGGGAAGAAATATTTGCATTTGTAGAGATGACTCATTAGGGAAGTTCTAATAAGTTCTCAAAGTGTGGTTCCTTGACCTGCAGCATCAGGATCACGTAAGAACTTGTCAGGAATGAAATGACAAGGCCATTGGCCAGGCGCGGTGGCTCATGCCTGTAATCCCAGCACTTTGGGAGGCCAAGATGCGCGGATTACGAGGTCAGGAGATAGAGACCATCCCGGCTAACACGGTGAAACCCCGTCTCTACTAAAAATACAAAAAATTAGCCGGGCGTGGTGGTGGGCGCCTGTAGTACCAGCTACTCGGGAGGCTGAGGCGGGAGAATGGCGTAAACCCGGGAGGCGGAGCTTGCAGTGAGCTAAGATCTGGCCACTGCACCCCAGCCTGGGCAACAGAGCCAGACTCCGTCTCAAAAAAAAAAAAAAAAAAAAAAAAGAAATGACAAGGCCAGCCCCTAAAACTCAATCGATTTGTAGGTAAAATACTCAGGCCCTCGCTCATAGGCTTGGTTCTTACAAACTTCAGATGCTTTTAATCCATAGCAGAGAAGAAACAGCATATAAGAAGTGAAGTGGAGCTATTAGAAGGTAGACCAATAAAGGCAGAGATAAGATGGCAATCGATGGAGAAAATTCAAATACTAAGTCCAGCCTTAAGCTCTTTAAATGTAGGGTAAACAGTAACATACTTCCTCAATAGCCTATGATGATTACTTAATATTCTAAAGGGAGTATCTGTAGTGCTGGCCTAGAATCATCAAGAAAAACTTAAACCATGTTTTTGTGTTCGGTTTAAAGTGGTAGGATGGTATAGATTTCAGAAAGTTTTTTTTTTTTTTTTTTTTTTTTTTTTTAAGACAGAGATTTGCTTTTCTTGCTCGGGTTGGACTGCAATGGCGCAGTCTCGGCTCACTGCATCTTCCGCCTCCCGGGTTTAAGTGATTCTCTTGTCTCAGCCTCCCGAGTAGCTGAGATTACAGGTGTGTGCCACCACGCCCAGCTAATTTTTGTATTTTTAGTAGAGATGGGGTCTCACCGTGTGGGTCAGGTTGGTCTCAAACTCCTGACCTCAGGTGATCTGCCTGCCTCAGCCTCCCAAAGTGCTGGGATTACAGGCGTGAGCCACTGCGGTTGGCCAGAAGACTTTTTTTAAAATAAAAAATATACTTCAAATAACATTTGAGTACGTTAAGGAGTTAGCTTTACTTATTTGGGAATTTTACTTCGTGGCATGCTTCCTTCCCCAAAGAAACTGATCAATGAGGCATCACTGTAACTTGTTGAGGTCAAGAACCATTCCCCATGCTTTTACCCACTCCTGTTTGACCACACTGTAAGAACTCAATAAATATGTGTTGCTGATTAAGCTTCCCTCTAGGCATGGGGATAAAAATGGGGTAAACTCAATTGTTTTGCAGTTGTCATGCTGTTGCCACCATGCTCGATTATTGCTTTGATCTTCAAAGCCCAATGTTCCCTGCTGATTTCTGTATTGTTTGCTTCTTTTCTTGTTTGCAGAAAATGAAATCTATGCATGGAGTGCAACCTTGCTGAGAATATTTGTTTCCTTTCTATATTGTCTCTCCATGGCCTGCTCGTTCCCTTCAGGTACTAATCATAATTATAGCTTTTCAAGATTCAGTGAATTTCATCATTCCTTGTTACCAGTTATGAAAATCACTGATTGTTTCAAGGATTGGTTATTTGTCAAGATGACTTATTAGGGAAGCCCTAATGAATTCTCAGAGCATGGTCCCTGGACCAGCAGCGTTAGAATCACCTGGGAGCTTGTCAGAAATGCAAATTTTCAGGCCCCACTCAGACCTGCTGAATTAGAAACACAAGGAATGGGGCCCGGAAATCTTGGTTAACAAGACTGCCAGGTGATTCTGATGCCTGTTCAAGTTTGAGGTTGGCTGTTCTGGAGTACCGTCCTTTATCTCACCCCTTACTGTACCACAGGAAGTGGGTGGGGGTGGGGGAGACAAGTAGTCCTCAGTTCAGAACATTTGGAATATAAACCAACAGAGATAACTAAGCTTAGCAGAAACAACACAGGCTGAGATAAACCTCGGCTTAAATTCTGGCTCTGCCTACATGTCTTTGAGCATAGCATTAATACACCCTAAATGTCATTAACCATTTTGTGACTCAGTGTCCTTAATACTTTGCAGAAGCTAAATGTTAGGTCTCTTGCCCTTACATTGTTTAGGCACTAGAAGTGTTTCCACTTGGAAAAATGTGTCTTCCTGTGAAAACCACATTTAGTGCCCAGAACCAAATGTATCTGAAATACTAACTTGGCATTATACTTTAGGTATATTATGAGTTAAAAACACACTTAACAGGCTTTTGTATGCTAGCTTGGGAACTTTATTATCCATTTATTTAATCATTTAGCCATGCCTTTTAAAAAAGCACAATACAATTTCCCTATGGGGAAATATATTCCAAGTTCCAAAAATGTAATTTACGTATAACTTCTGTTCATTGGATGTCTCTATGCATCCGTTGTATCTTTAATGTAATCCAGATAGTCAAACTCAAGGAGCAGGGATTTGGAAGCTCCACACAATTAGTATCTTTCCTCAAAACTAGTAAATAGTCTTTGTAACCAAGTAAAACTCAAAAGTTGTGACTTGTTTTCAGTACTGACTATGCTCAACTGAAAAGGAATAATAAGACAGTAGGGCAAACCTGGGCTGACTGAGGCATAGAAGAAAATGGAAACACAGAGTTTGGGCACCTGTTTGGCCATGAAGCCACATCCACTGTCTGCAGGGTAAGTTCTCACTGAGCCTCCTAGCACCTTAGCCATCACATCATAAGGTGACTTCAATGCTATAATTCAAGGGCAAGAGCTCTAGACTTTTGAAATGAACCACTCATATTTTTTTTTTCTAAGAGGAAATGCACAACTTGTGAAAAGAGAGCTCAGCTTTTGTTCTAGATCTGTAAGTTTTCTCCTCTTTAAAATTGGCCTGAGCCAGGCGTGGTCCCAGCTAGTCGGGAGGGACCTGTAGTCCCAGCTAGTCGGGAGGCTGAGGCAGGAGGATGGCTTGAGCCCAGGAGTTTCAGGCTGCAGTGAGCTGTGATCACACGGCTGCACTCCAGCCTGGGTGACAGAGCAAGATGTTGTCTCTAACAACAACAACAACAAAATTGGTCTGTGAAAATTTAAATAAAGACTGCCAATTTGTGTGAAGCAGTGTGGTATAGTAGGTAGCATGTGCCTGAGGGGCAGAGGTCTGAGTAACCCTGGCCTTATTTCTTGCATATAATCTGATTTTCTTTTTCATTTTTTTTTTTTTTGAGATGGAGTCTCGCTCTGTTGACCAAGCTGGAGTGCAGTAGTGTGACCTCCACCTCCTCGGTTCAAGCCATTCTCCTGCCCCAGGTGCCAGAGTAGCTGGGACTACAGGTGTGAGCCACCACGCCCAGCTAACTTTTTTTTTTTTTTTGAAACCGAGTCTCACTCTGTCCCCCAGGTTGGAGTGCAATGGCACAATCTTGGCTCACTGCAAGCTCCGCCTCCCAGGTTCACGCCATTCTCCTGCCTCAGTCTCCCAAGCAACTGGGACTACAGGTGCCCACCACCACGCCCGGCTAATTTTTTGTATTTTTAGTAGAGACAGGGTTTCACCGTGTTAGCCAGGATGGTCTCGAACTCCTGACCTCAGGTGACCCACCCACCCCCCTCCCCCGCCTCAGCCTCCCAAAGTGCTGGGATTACAGGTGTGAGCTATCGCGCCTGGCATGATCTGATCTTTGACAAGTGATGCAACCTCTTTCAGCCTAAGTTTTCACATCTGTAAAGGGGTAATAATAATACTAATGATACTCAACCTTCCTAATTCTCAGGGCTATTGTTGTAAGGAACAAATAAGACGATGTATATGAATATCTTAACCAGTCTATGCGGACATAGAATATTGATCTAGGAAAAAAACCTAGAAAGTCATCAAGTGGAGCTTTTTTGACCACAGGGGGCTCTTCTGATAGCAGAATGAACAGGAAGTAACCACAGATGGAATGGACTTGCATAATGAGAGAGATTTTTCCAGCCAATATTTAACCCTTTTTCCTGCTTACAGCCAATGACTCTCAATAGCTGGAGAAGGTGTTCATGTATGTTTCTCACAGGTGGTTTTAGGGGAGTTTCTGCAGAGGGCATTTGTGTGGAACTTTTCAACAGTTAGTGAGAATAAATTAGGGCAGTAGAAATACAGTTGAAGAATCTGAACTTGAAAAACTGTAAACGGCAAAGCCATACAAAAGTGAACCTAGTGAAACAGTAAAATTATGTTTGTCCTGTCACTCATGACTGCCCTTGCCCGTCCAGAGGTCTGAAGTTTTAGTCTCTGAAGGGATCAAACAGAGAAGCCTCTGGATGGGATACTTGAGACTTATTTGTCTCAAGTGTGAGCACAATACCAGTGAATGCCATGCCAAAAACAGGGATTGAATGGCTATATGCACACTCAATTCAGAATGGAGGCCGGGTGTGGTGGCTCATGCCTGTAATCCCAGCACTTTGGGAGGGCAGATCTCTTGAGGCCAGGAGTTGGAAACCAGCCTGGCCAACATGGCAAAACTCTGTCTCTACTAAAAATACAAAACTTAGTTGGGTGTGGTGGGACATACCTGTAATCACAGCTACTTGGGAGGCTGAGACATGAAAATCATTTAAGCCTGGTGGGTGGAGGTTGCATTGAGCTGAGATTGTACCACTGCACTCCATTCTGGGTGACAGAGGGAGATTCTGTCTTAAAAAAAAAAATCCAGAATGAAGGGACTCATTGTCTTGTTCCTCCAACAAGAACATTAGTACCAAGGACATTATCTCTAGGCAGGAGGATAGAAAGCTTTTCTTTAAGAAATTGACAAGATCAAGAAAAAAATGCCTGAATATACTGACATCAGTGTTTTATCCCAACAGGTACCATCTATACAATCCTAGAATGAAGTTCAAAGTCAACAAAGCTCATCATGTGCTCAGAGTTTCAAATCAGGTTTTCTTCTCTACTGGTTAGTATAAGTAGATGGCCAAGAAGTACTAGTTATCTGAGAAAGTCTCTAACATGATAGGTTGGAATGAAACAAGCAAAAAACCCACAACAGCTTAGAGAATACACAGGCAAGACAGGGAGAAAATGAAGTAATAGAAAATAACCTATTATTAAAACCCTCAGAAAGAAAGGAAAGGATACTCCATCTATGGAAAAAAAATCAAGATGCTATCTATAAAAAGAAATATTTGGAGGACAAAAATGTGCTTCTGGAAATTAAAAACTTGATACTAGAAACTAGAAACTCAGTAGAAGAAAACGAAATCACCTGGAAAGTAGAATAAAAAATATAGAAATAGAAACTAAGCTAAAAGCGTAAGAAAGTTAAAGGATCAGGAGATCTAATATCTGAATAATGTGAGTTTCCAGAGTGAAAGAACAGAGAACACAAAGAGGAGGAAATCATCAAAGAAATAGTTCAAGAAAATTTCTCTGCATTAAAAGACACGAGTTGTCAGATTGGAAGGGTCTGTTGAATTTACAACAAAATGAGTAAAGACAGATTTACAACAATGCCCATATTGTGAAGTTTCAGAACACTGGGAAAAAATAAGTTTCTACAACCTTCCAAAGGAAAAAAAATATCATTTTTTTGTATTTATCATACAAAGGATTGGTAACAAAAGTGGCTTTGAACTTTTGAGTCACAACCTTGAAGACAAGAAAATAAGAGCAGTGCCTTCAAAATTCTGAAGGAAAATTATTTCCATTCTAGATTTCTATACATAAACTATCACTTCAATTTGAGAGGTGGAAAACTACATTTTCAGATGTGTAAAATCTGTAAAACTGGGTCTTATGCAACCTTTCTTAAGAGGAATTAGGAGATCCAGTTAGAAGAGAGTCCCCTGGAGGATGAGGAGATCCCAGAATGAGAGTTGTGCCAGTGGTGCAGATTAGAGGAGTTGACTAGAGAGACAGACTGAGTGCTGTCATCAACAATTCCTCTGCTGACATTTACTTTTTTTTCAACTTTAGGAAAGCATGCCTGGGTTTCATACTAGCTTCTAATCTTGTCTTGACCACATATTGATGAAATTCCTACATCACTGCTGCTTAGACCTTCTAAGGTCATTTATTTCACCCCACAGATTTTTTCTGTTTTCATTGACTCCTGAAGGCTAGTTGGCAAGGACTGAGGTCAGGTTACGGCAGGTTTAGAAGAAGAAAATACTCAATTCAGAGTATAGTCCATCCATTTAGAATGCTAGACATCCTTTGCCTGGCCCACAGGACAGTCCTATCTGATGGCCCAATTGTGGCAAGCCCTATGTTACTGAGGACTCACTGGTATGCCTGGCCCTACGACTTCACTGGAAGGGGCTCTCATAAACATTCAGGGCAGCTGGAGACAAAGTGTGACCTGGAGACATCTTCAGCTTTTCTTTTCTTGGAAGCCTTCATCTAAAAGTTGTGATATTATCTGGGTTTTGTTGTTGTTGTTGTTTGCTTGTTTGTTTGTTTAGACGGAGTCTCTCTCTGTCGCCCAGGCTGGAGTGCAGTGGAGGGATCTCGGCTCACTGCAACCTCTGCCTCCCGGGTTCATGGCATTCTCCTACCTCAGCCTCCCGAGTAGCTGGGATTACAGGCGCCTGCCACCATGCCCGGCTATTTTTTTTTTTTTTTTTTTGTAGTTTTAGTAGAGATGGGGTTTCAACGTGTTAGCCGGGGTGGTCTCCATCTCCTGACCTCCTCATCCGCCCACCTGGGTCTTCCAAATTGTTGGGATTACAGGCATGAGCCACTGCGCCCGGCCGATATTATCTGTTCTGTACAGGGCTAGGGTTGTGCTGACTACTGAGTTTTTCAAAATGAAACAATTATTTCTTAGGGGTACATACATTTGTGCTACAACTTAATAAAATGCAAAGGAATGCGTAGCATTAAAGTCAGAACAGCGGTTAATTCTCTGGGGAGTGAGGGAGAACAGAGTGCAATTCGGGAAGGGCAGGGAGTGCACTTTAAAATGACTTGTAATGTATTAATATTTTTCAGCCTAGGTGGTGGGTACATCGTTGTGTAATTCTTACTATTTTGAAAGTGTAGGTTGGGCCTGGTGGCTCACGCCTGTAATGCCAGCATTTTGGGAGGCCGGGGAGGGCAGATCGCTTGAGCTCAGGTGTTTGAGACCAGCCTGAGCAACATGGTGAAATCCCATCTCTATAAAAAACTGCAAAAATTAGCTGTGTGTGGTGGCAAGTGTCTGTAGTCCCAGCTACTTGGGAGGCTGAGGTGGGAGGGTCACTTGAGCCAAGGAAGTTGAGGCTGCAAGTGAGCCAAGGTTACATCACTGCACTGCAGCCTGGGCAACTAAATGAGACACTGTCTCAAATAAAAGTGTACACATACATTTTATACATTCTTCTCTATATTGTAACACAATTTAAAAAAATTTTTTTAAATTTTTATGGATACATAATAGTTGCATGTATTTATGGCGATACATGTGATATTTGGATACAATCATGTAATGTGTAATGATCAAATCAGGGTAATTGGAATATCCATTACTTCAAACATTTATCATTTCTTTGTGTTAGGAACATTCCAATTCTACTCTTTCATTGATTTTGAAATATGAAATAATTATTGTTAACTATTGTTTCCTTATTGTTATGTCAAATACTAGATCTCATTTTTTTTACCTAACTGTATTTTTTACCCATCGACCAACTCCTCTTTGTCCCTGACCCCACTACCCTTCCCAGCCTCTGGTAACCATCCTTCTACTCTCTATCTCCAAGAGTTCAATTTTTTTTCTGCTCCCCCATATGAGTGATAACGTGATATTTGTCTTTTTGTGCCTGGCTTATCTCACTTAACATAATGTCCTCCAGTTCCATCCATGTTGTTGCAAATGACAGGATCTCATTCTTTTTTCATGGCCAAATAATATTCCATTGTGTATGTGTATCACATTTTAAAATCCATTCATTTGTTGGTGAACATTTAGGTTGATTCTCTACCTTGGCCGTGAATAGTGCTGCCATAAACATGAGTGCAGATAAGAGTGCATAAGAGAGTGGATATCTCTTCAACATAGTGATTTCCTTTCTTTTGGGTATGTATCCAACAGTGGGATTGCTGGATCATATGGTAATTCTATTTTTAGATTTTTTGTGAACCTTCATGCTGCTCTCCACCTTGTCTGTACTAATTTGTATTCTCACCACCAGTGAGAAAGGGTTCCCCTTTCTCCACATCCTTGCCAACTTTCGTTACTGTCTGCCTTTTGGATAAGAGCTATATTAACTGGGGCGAGATGATATCTCATTGTAGTTTTGATATGCATTTCTGTTATGAGTAAGGAGACTAAGGATTTTTTCATATAACTGTTGGTCATTTATATGTCATTTTTTGAGACAGAGTCTTGCTCTGTTGCCCAGGCTGGAGTGCAGTGGCATGATCTCGGCTCACTGCAACCTCCGCCTCCCAGGTTCAGGCAATTCTCCTGCCTCAGCCTCCCGAGTAGCTGGGATTACAGGCACGTGCCACCACACCCAGCTAATTTTTGTATTTTTAGTAGAGATGGGGATTTTGCCATATTGGCCAGGCTGGTCTTGAGCCCCTGACCTCAAGCAATCTGCCCGCTCCGACCTGCTAAAGTGCTGGGATTACAGGCATGAGCCACTGTGCCTGGCCTCATTTTGTATGTCTTCTTTTGAGAGATATCTATTCAGATCCTTTGCCCATTTTTAAATCGGATTTTTCTCTTTTTGGTGTAGAGTTGTTTGAGCTCCTTATATATTGTGGTTATTAATCCCTTGTCAGATGGGCAGTTTGCAGATATTTTCTCCCCTCTGTGAGTTGTCTCTTCACTTTGTTGATTGTTTCTTTTGCTGTGCAGAAACTTTTTAGCTTGAGATGTTCCCAGTTGTCTATTTTTGCTTTGGTCGCCTGTGCTTTTAAGGTCCTACTCAGGAAACATTCGCCCAGGGCAATGTCCTGGAACATTTCCCCAGTGTTTTCTTTTAGTAGTTTTATGGCTTCAGGTCTTAGATGTAAGTCTTTAATCCATTTTGATTTGATTTTTTTTTTTGAGACTGAGTTTCACTCTTATTGCCCAGGCTGGAATGCAATGGCATGATCTCAGCTCACCACAACCTCTGCCTCCTGGGTTCAAGCGATTCTCCTGCCTCAGCCTCCCACGTAGCTAGGATTACAGGCATGTGCCACCATGCCAGGCTAGTTTTGTAGCTTTAGTAGAGACAGGCTTTCTCCATGTTGGTCAGGCTGGTCTCGAACTCCCAACCTCAGGTGATCCTCCCGCCTCAGCCTCCCAAAGTACTGGGATTCCGGTGGGAGCCACCGCAATCGGCCGATTTGATTTTTATATACGGTGAGAGATAGGGGTCTAGTTTCATTCTTCTGCATATGGATATCTAGTCATAGTAGAGTTTTGAAATACAAATGGACCCAAAGTTATGCAGCAGATGGGGGGATTCCTAGAGTGGATGCTTGAGTTATGTTGAGCCCCAAACCCTAAGGCTTAAGATAGAATTATTCTGGTTCTGATAGGGGCGAGGAAACTCCCAATTCCTCAGTATTAAATTCTCCTAGGAAGCTGTTTTCTGACTTGCAGTGGCCTGTTCTGCAAGGACCGAGTCACGAGAAACATCAAGAAAGATGTGGTTAGTTCTTTTCCAACTGCTGGACTGCTGGAATATTCTCTGCCTTGATTCAGATGTTACTGGAGTGGGAGGGAAGCCCCTAATTATAGTCAGTGACTGACTCATATCCATACTTTGCTCATGGTTATTTCTTCAGAGAAGAATATATGTGGTATTTTTGCCTACTGAGTGTGCATGTGTGTGTTGTTTATCATCTCTCCACAACGTCTTTACATGACCTTTAGCTGTAGGGGTGGGCCTTCCTAGGAGCTCTTAAGTCAGCCCCAGCTGTGCACACTGCTGCTGGATTGCTTTCACAGGCACACCCAGAATGTGGGTGTGGCTTTGAAATATACAGCTCTCTGGGGTGTCATTTCACACTACCTGCTGTGGTCAGTAGTAACTGAACAGGATCTGGAACCACACCTGCTCCTAGGAACTAGTCAGGACTCCCTAGGTTACAAGAAGCAGAAGCCCAATGCACAGATTTAAATGCAGAAAAAACATACTGGCATACTTAACTGCACAGCATTGGAGGAGATTCAGGTACAGCTGGATCCAGGCCCCCACAGGATCACTGGAAGCTATTTCTATCTGCTTTCTTCTGTATTGGCTTCTTTTCAGGTGCACTCTCCCCCATCTGGTGACCTGGGGCAGTTACAGTCTTGTATTAACATTTTACTTGCTTATTAACTCCAGCAGTTTTTATATACTGAGTTCTTTTTGAATTCTCTGTCTCTCAATAATTCGTATGGAGACTTTTAATGGTCCAGTTAGGGCTATGTAACCATCTCTGAAGCAATCGCATTGGCTAGGGCGATAGAGTGGTCTCACCAAGAGGACACACATGCCCACCCCATTTCTGAGGGAGGGGCTTAGATCCACATGACATGGATTGAGAAAAGAAAGGTAGTTTTTGTTATAACAACTATTTGTACATACAAACTTCTCTGGAGTGAATTTTAGTTAACTAATTTTTGAATACAGTGATGTTTGAAATGATAGATTATAAATCTAGTTTGTGAACACCGTCTTCCTCCCTAGCCATATTTTATGAATTTCCACACTTAATGAAAACATGCTTTAAAAACATAGAAGTTTTCAATTCAAATGAGTAAGAAAGTTTCTGTGCTGGGCGTGGTGGCTCATGCCTGTAATCCCAGAACTTTGGGAGGCTGAGGTGGGCAGATCACTTGAGGTCAGGAGTTTGCGACCAGCATAGACAACATGGTGAAACCTTGTCTCTACTAAAAATACAAAAATTAGCTGGGCATGGTGGTGGGAGCCTGTAATTCCAGCTACCTGGAAGACTGAGGCAGAAGAATCACTTGAACCTGGGAGGCAGAGGTTGCACTTACCCAAGATCCTGCCACTACACTCCAGCCTGGGCGACAGAGCAAGACTCTGTCTCAAAAAAAAAAAAAAAAAAAAAATATATATATATATATATACACACACACATACATATATATATTAATAAAGCAATTGGGCAGCAACAGAGCTCTTTTTTTTTTTTGAGACAGAGTCTCTCCCTGTCACCCAGGCTGGAGTGCAGGGGCGCGATCTCGGTTCACTGCAAGCTCTGCCTCCCAGGTTCACGCCATTCTCCTGCCTCAGCCTCCCCAGTAACTGGGACTACAGGTGCCCGCCACCATGCCTGGCTAATTTTTTATTTGTATTTTTAGTAGAGGCAGGGTTTCCCTGTGTTAGCCAGGATGGTCTTGATCTCCTGACCTCATGATCTGCCTGCCTCGGCCTCCCAAAGTGCTGGAATTACAGGCGTGAGCCACCGCGCCCGGCCGCAGCAGAGCTCTTATGTCTTTCTATTGAATGGAAGAAAAACTCAACAGAAGAAATCTACTGCTTCTGACAGATCTTAGGGTATAATTTATTCAGACTTGGGGCCTTGAGTTCAATTTGATTCATTGAAAGCTCAGGACACATTTTGGTTTGGTTTAAAGGCTTGCCCATTTAGTTTTCTTACCGAAGGGATTTCTAACCCAGTGCCTGGAAAAAGAAAGTGTTTCTAGATTGAAGGAGTTTGCTGCAAATGTTCTCTCTTATTAAAGGAATACTCGCATTTCTGACTTCATAGTTCCCCGTCTCTGAGGGGACTTGTATTCTCTTTCATTGCGCAGGGGTAAGATGCATTTTGGAGATGCATTGCTTGATTTTAACTTCTAGCTCTGTTTCTCTGACTGTGACTTCGTCAGAAAGCTAGTCACTCAGTGCCTTTCTATGCTTCCATTCCCTCATCTGTAAAAACCTACATAGGATAACCTACTTAGGATGGTGCCTGGCACATAGTAAGCCCTTTATGGGTGTTTGCTACCAGTATTGTTATTTCATGAGCTCTCAAAGCACACAACCACAGGCCTGTTTTACTTCTGGTTGAGATGAAGCTTGGAGGGCAGAGGGCAGATGCCTGAAGCTAAGCAGCTTATTAAAAGTAAAATAGAAATAGATGAGAGGAAACCAAAGTGCTTTTCTCTTTAGATACTTATCAAAGCATGCTTCGCTGCAGACTGTGGGCTTGGGTATGGCCAGAGATCAAAGGCCCTCTTATGTGCAGTGACATTTCTGAGCACAGGGCTGAGTTATAAAACCCTTGAATGGAAGGTTTTGGCACTTGGAACACGGCTTGGGCTAGAAGGGCAGGGTTTTTATAGAGGCGATTCATGGAACTGCTTATGCTGGTGAAGAACCCAGACTGTTATGACTCACTTGTCTCTTTACTGCTTTGGACCAAGAACTGTTGTTTCCTTTTAAGTCCCTCTGTAGGAGCTGAGCTACAGACTAGGGCCAAGATAACCCTTTCAGGAAGACAGAGTGGCTTCAGTGAGTGTGAACGGGAATACTGCCTTGTTGGGCTCTGGGTCAAGTATCCTGGACAAGCAGAATAAGGATTTTATTTTACCAGGGTAGAATTGCTTTTGGAAACTGGCAGCATCCTTAAAATCTTAAACTTCAGATAAGCTTTCCTTTTGTCTGTCTGCCATTTTCATTCTCTGAAAGCCCAAGCTAAAATTGATGGTGTGACAAATAGAGGACAGAAGAATGACTTTGGAAAGTAGAAATTAATGTGTCTGGGCTGCTACATATAGAAGTAGGGATAGCAAAAGGGGTCATTTGGAGTCCAGTTTTCCTGAGGTCCTGCTGGGTCTCCTGGGAAAAACTGAAAGGGACTTTTGGCCTGATGGTGAGGCCTCGTGCGGTAGGCAGACTTCTAAGATATATCTCAGTGCTCTCCAACTCCTGGTCCTTACCTCTTCAGGTAAGCTCCTCGCCTTGTGTTCAGGCCAGACCTATTGACCTTTGGATACCTTTGTGAGTTTGGAACTTATTGTGAAGTAGCAGATCATCCAGATTTCAAGGAGACAGTGGTTCTTGGTCCCTGAGGGATCCTAGGTAATGTTATGGTCTCCAATACAGTGCCTGGCAGTTATTCCAAGACATTTGAGAAAGGATGCTAAAGCCAAGAGCGCCAGGATTTCTTTGGGACTCCTAATTGAAGCTGAAGTCACTGGTTGGGAGAAAATCTCCTCCTTGGTGAACAGGAGCAGGAAGTATGAAGTGTGGGGAAAGACAGAGGCAAATCCAAGTCTTTATTTATTTATAATTCTGGTTTCAGAATGGGGCTACCACACGGTCAGGAGGAAGAGACTCACAAAGAAAGATGAAGGTTGCAGAGAGGTGCTGTGGAAATAGCACATGCTGAAGGAGTCTTCTAAGCAGCCCAGAGGCGATGACATACCAGTGTCAGCAGAGGAGGAGAACCACGCTTCAGTATAACAAAAACTTCAGTGAATCATGCTCGATGTGGAAAAGTTGAATAGACATGGCTAAGGATAAAAGAAAAAAAATACACATAATCTCACTACCCAGAGAGAAGCAATGTTGATATATTTCTCTTCTTCAATGAATATTTACATATTGTTGATATTTTACTGTCTGTGCAATTTTGCTTTAATTAAACATTTAAATTATGAAATAATTCAAACATACCAAAACAATATGTCACCAAGTGTGGCAGTTTGGACTAAGATGGGTGGCAATAGAATGAGTTCCCCTTCATTCCAGGCAATAACTTTGGCTTAGACGAGAAAGACATTTATTTTTCTCTCACCTAAACTATGTCTGTAGATGGTCAGTCCAGGGCTGGTTTGGCAGTTCTGCATCATCATCACTGGGGATATAACTTCCAACTCTCTGGTGTGCCATTCCTGGGATGCCTTTGTGTTTGCGAGATGGTTGTTGGAACTCCAGAAATCTCACCCACATCCTACCCCACAGGAAATCCTCTTTCTCTCTAAAGAAACTCCCAAGAATGTTTATGCCACACTTTCATTCATATCTTGTGGGCTAAAATGTAGTAACATGGCCACATCTAATTGCATGATAGGTGGGAAATGAAATTTTAATTCAAGATGATGTGACCAGCTAAAAAATTATTTGCCAGGCCATGGAGCCATCAACCAGATTTAACATATGATATCACTTCGCTAATTTGGATCTCTTCAAAAAATTTTTAAATTAAGAAATGAAGAGTTAGGCCAGATGTGGTGGCTCATGCCTGTAATCCCAGAACTTTGGGAGGCTGAGAGGGGTAGATCACTTGAGCCCAGGAGTTTGATACCAGCCTGGGCAACATAACAAAACCCCGTCTCTACTAAAAATGCAAGAAATTAGCCAGGTGTGGTGGCACGTGTCTGTAATCCCAACTACTTGGGAAGCTGAGATGGGAGGATCTCTTGAGCCCAGAGAGTCTGAGGTTTCAGTGAGCTGTGATAGCGCCACTGGACTCTAGCCTGGGTGACAGTGAAACCCTATCTCAAAATTTAAAAAAAGAAGAGTTAAAAATATAGATAGACTCTACTTTCACCAAGGATATAGAAAGCTAAAAAAGTATTACTCCCACATAACAAGAAAAAGCCAGATAAACTACAACATTATAACTTTTCTTAAACCCATCTGAGAATTGAGTTTGGAGGGTGACTAAGCATCTGAAATTCAAGCAAAGACCGGCCCCTCTGAGAAGAGAGAAGATCCACACATTGGCTCCCCTTTGGGCAGAGCATGGGTGGTAGAAACATCGGGTGCCATATTAATAGGTAAGAAGAAGTCAAGTAAAATTTTTAATGATTTGGTAAAAGCTGAGTATGGGCTACAGTGACAGTATAGAAACATTGGGATCCCAGACACCAGGGAAGTTCACAGTTATTGGTAGTTTCTTCTCCATGGACTTCTGTTGAGTGCTCACAAGAAAGATTGAGTCAAGGAGGGAGAACAGAAAGTTCTCTAGTTGGTTAAGACCTGAAGGATGGAGGAAATTGGTCCCTGCCACAGGAGACTTCTCCCCTATGGAACCAAAGCCATGAGCTATTGAAGGAGAAGCAGCCAACTGAGAGGTAGCACCACAGTGAGGACCCAGGGAGCTGGGGGAAGGGTCAAAGACAACATTCTTTTTATGCCAGGGAAAGGGGTAGGAAAACATTCTGAGTATGAATGCTATACCAATACAACCAGCAGCCTCCTACTGGTGGGGAAAGTGCAGGAAGCTATGTCTTGCACAAGACCTAAAGCAAAAAAGCAGAATTTGGCTTACAGTGGGGAAGAAAGGCAGGATCAGTAAGAAAGTCACACCTCTGAGACCCAGGCACAAACAGCTCACCAGTTTAACAGAAAATCCTCTTCCTTCCAACAGAGAATTTCCCCTTCTGTCCCTCCCCCTGCCCCACAAAATCAGGCAAGCAAGCACTGAGTTACAAGCAACACAGCTTACTACTGCGGAAGAGACAAGACCATGGGAGGAGATCCTCCGTGTAGAGTCCATGCACACGGGAAGGCTGAAAGCTAAGGGTGGAGAAGAGATATTTAGAAAAACCCTCCAGCATCCAGCCCCTACACCAAGCACAAGGTCACACCAGAGGAATTTAAAGCCACTGGTTCACTAGTTACACTGAAGGTAACTATAGCAACAAAATCTCCTTCTCAGTTCCTGACCAGATTGATTCACCCTCCCTGCCCCACTAATAACCAATTTAAAAAATGTGTAAATGTGGCAGGGTGCAGTAGCTCATGCCTGTAATCCCAGCACTTTGGGAGGCCCAGGCAGGTAGATCACCTGAGGTCAGGAGTTCGAGATCAGCCTGGACAACATGATGAAACCCTGTCTTTACTGAAAATACAAAAATTAGCCAGGTGTGGTGGTGTGCATCTGTAATCCCAGCTACTCGGGAAGCTGAGGCATGAGAATCACTTGAACCCAGGAGGCAGAGGTTGCAGTGAGCCGAGATTGCACCATTGCATTCCAGCCTGGGTGACAGAGCAAGACTCTGTCTCAAAAAAATAAAAAGAAGTGTATCCATTTTCAGGCATAAGTACTATTTATCTTCATCTTTATTCTACACACACTGTCCAATAGTCAGTAAAAAAAAAAAAAAAAATTACAAGATATACACATAAGAAAAAAAAGCCAACCCATTATTAAAGAATGAATAAAACCAATTTATCTATTTTTATTTTTAATTTTTTAAAAATTTCAATAGCTTTTAAGGTACAGGTGGTTTTTGGCTGATGGAAGAATTATATGGTGGTGAATTCTGAGATTTTAGTGCACCCATCACCTGAATAGTGTACATCGAACCCAATATGTAGTTTTTTTGTCTTACATCTTTTTCTTACTCTCCCTGTTCAGAGGTTCCAAAGTGCAGTATATCACTCTGTATGCCTTTGTGTCCTCATAGCTTAGCTCCCACTTATAAGTGAGAGCATATGATGTTTGATTTTCCATTCCTGAGTTACTTCACTTAGAATAATAGCCTCCAGTTTCATCCAAGTTGTTGCAGACATTATTTTGTTCCTTTTTATGGCAGAGTAGTATTCCATGGTGTATATATACCACATTTCCTTTATTCACTCATTAGTCGATGGGCACTTAGATTGGTTCTATATCTTTGCAATTGTGAATTGGGCTGCAATAAACATACATGTACATGTTTTTTTCACATAATGACTTATTTTCCTTTGGGTAGATACCCTGGAGTGGGATTGCTGGATCAAATGGTAGATCTACTTTTAGATCTAGATTTCTTTAAGAAATCTCCATAGTGTTTCCCATAGAGGTTGTAATAATTTACATTCCCAGCAGCAGTGCATAAGCCTTCCCTTTTCACTACTTCCATGACAACATCTATTTTTTTGACTTTTTAATAATGACCATTCTGGCAGAAGTAAGGTGATATCTCATTGTGGTTTTGCATTCTCCTGATGATTACTGATGTTAAGTATTTTTTCATATATTTGTTGGCCACTTGTATATCTTCTTTTGAGAAATATTTATTCATATCTTTTGCCCACTTTTTGATGGGGCTATTTTTTTTTCTTGCTGACTTCTTTGAGTTCCTTTTAGATTCTGGATACTAGTCCTTTCTCAGATACACAGTGTGCAAATATTTTCTCCTAATCTGTGGGTTATCTGCTTACTCTGATGATTATTTTTTTGTGCTGTGCAGAAGCTTTTAAATTTAATCAGGTCTCATTTATTTGTTTTTGTTTTTGTTGCAGTTGCTTTTGGGGTTTTAGTTATGAATTCTTTGTCTAAGCCAATGTCCAGAAGAGTTTTTTTTAAGGTTACCTTCTAGAATTTTTATGGTTTTGAGTCTTAGATTTAAGTCTTTGATTCATCTTGAGTTGATTTTTATATAATGTGAGTGGTAAGGATTCAGTTTTGTTCTTCTACATGTGGCTAGCCAGTTTTCCCAGCACCATTTATTAAATAGGGTGTCCTTTCTCCAATTTTTGTTTCTGTATGCTTTGTTGAAGATCAGTTGGCTGTAAGTATTGGACTTCATTTCTAGGTCCCCTATTCTGTTGCATTTGCCTAAGTGCCTGCTTTTATACCAGTACCACGCTGTTTTGGTAACTATAGCCTTGTAGTATAACTTGAAGTCTTGGTAATGCGATGCCTCCAGATTTGTTCTTTTTGATAGGATTGCTTTTACTATTCTGGATCTTTTTTGTTCCATATGAATTTTAGGATTGTTTTTCTAATTCTGTGAAAAATGATATTGGTATTTTGATGGAATTGCATTGAATCTGTAGATTTCTTTGGGCAGTATGTTCATTTTCACAAGATTGATTCTTCCAACCCACAAACATGGGATGCATTTCCATTTGTGTCATCTATGATTTCTTCCAACAGTGTTTTGAAGTTCTCCTTGCAGGTATCTTTCATCTCCTTGGTTAGGTGTATTCCTAGGTTTGGTTTTTTGTTTTGTTTTGTTTTGTTTTTTCCAGCTGTTGTAAAAGGGATTGAGTTCTTGATTTGATTCTTAGCTTGACCATTGTTGGTGTATAGCAGCGCTACTGATTTGTGTACCCTGATTTGGTAATCTGAGACTTTACTGAATTAGTTTATCAAATCTAGGAGTCTTTTGGAGAAGTCTTTAGGGCTTTCTAGGTATATGATAATATCATCAGTGGACAGTGATAGTTTGACTTCCTCTTTTCCAATTTGGATGCCCTATATTTCTTTCTCCTGTATGATTGCTCTGGCTAGGACTTACAGTAGTATGTTGAATAGAAGTGGTGAAAGTGGGCATCCTTGTCTTGTTCCAGCTCTCAGGGAAATGCTTTCAACTGTTTCTTATTCAGTATGGTTTTGGCTGTGGATTTGTCATATATGGCTGTTATTAATTTGAGTACTTTATTAATTTGAAAATGTATTAAGTACTTTCTATGCCTAGTTTGTTGAGGGTTTTTTTTTTAAATCAAAAAGTGATGCTGGATTTTATCAAATCCTTTTTCTGCATCTACTGAGATGATAATATGGTTTTTGTTTTTAATTCTATTTATGTGATGTATTACATTTATTGACTTGCATATGTTTATTTATTTATTTATTTATTTTTTTTTGAGACGGAGTCTCGCTCTGTCGCCCAGGCTGGAGTGCAGTGGCGTGATCTCGGCTCACTGCAAGCTCCGCCTCCCGGG